TTCGCATAACGTGCTTTGTGTTCGAGCTTCCTTTCCTTTTTATTACCGACATGTAATATGTATATGTTGTTAAATAATGAAATAGGCGAAAATAATGTAGTAGCAAAATTTTACATCGATTTGTGTTGTATACATAATTTACATAGGTACTGTATAAAATATAAAAACGCTTTTCTATACTTGTACTCTTCACCTACAAAATATATTATAAGAGCTCTCCCGCTTTCGAATTTCATAAATACAAACGATTAATTAAAGAGCATCCTTTGGTTAATTTGATCGCCCTAGCCCTACCATATCGCTAAAGTTATATACACTGGATTTTGCGCATAATACGTTTAAATGTCATACACATTCCATGATTTTAACGCCAGAACCATAAAACAGCGCGTTTGGTCCATCTTTAAAAATAAGAATAAACCACGTCAATTTTATTTCACATTGCAAGGAAATTTACAAATCCAAGTATTTATTTACGTTCACAGTATCGCACCTTCCTGACATTTTGCAATAAAATCTTATTTTATGTTGCACGTCGTAATGGCAATGCAGCGTATGTCTCATTTATGCAATTAAATTATATGTATTATGTCGATGAAGCAGATTTTACGTGGTTTATTTTCATGTAAAAAATTAAGGATTTTAATTATCTAAAAAAGTATTTGTAAAAAAGATATGTTTATTAAATATTGAATATATTGAAAATGGGCAGAAATATTCTAGGCATACACGAGTCTCCCTTCCATCTTCTTCAACGTCCTTTGCGCCACCTAAACTATTTACAAATTATATATATATATATATATATATATATATATATCTTTCTTCTGGTGTTATCATGCGATAAAAAACTGTAGCGGAGAATGTATGTACAGAAGCGTATCTCCCTTAGACTGAATATTTAGGACCACATTTTTTAATTGGCGTTAATCTCAGGCCTTTAGCCAGCATTTGAGCTTCGAGGTCGCGGTCTTCGTTCTGATATCTAAAAGAGAAACAGACATATTTGTATTAATTGGATAAATACTATGTTACTTGCTGGAATGGTATATAATGTATTCGCATAAACTTCTTTGCTGCAAATCATCATTATCAGTTTCCAAAATATCGACGTTCGATCTAGCTTCTGTCAAAGGCGTACATTTAGATTTGAAGAATGTACACATTCTATTATTAACTCATTTTTCTTCTTTTAACACACAAATATACGTATAACATAAGATTAAATCTTTATTTTCTTATTCAAAATGACTATCATCATGACTATCTAAAAAAATATAAATTATGGTAATAGATAATAGCAACTCTCTAATATATGCAGTTTTCGCCTTTGACATCCGCAAGAAAAAAGATAACGTATATTTCATTAAAAACTAAATTAAACAGTTACGTCTGTATTTTAAAATTATATTATACATTTATACACATAAAAAAGTACACCCACAAATAATTGTGCTATTAAATAATTGTGCGTTTTACAGATATCCAAGTATTTGAAATAAGTGAATATTTTTTAATCATTTCAAAGACATTTTGCACGTTATTTTACGTAGTAATGCGTTTGCTCGTTACGAAGAGAATTTAGACACACAAAAGTCGATATGTGTATTCAACTATATGAAAATTTTATATCAAGGGTAAAGCTCAATGACAAAAACATTTCAAAAACATTTGATTTTACACATACTGTCCGGAATGTCAAGTTCACGATCTCTTTTTTTTATTACATCAGTAAACATAACAAGATGAAAAAAGACATAAAAACACATTTCAAGATTTGCACGTAAGCTACAATAAAAATGGGTGTACGTTGGAGCAAAAGTAAATAAGAAATCGTGAATAACAAACAATGAATAACACGTCCAACAAGCACAAAACGGGACATTTTTTCTCGTAAGGATCAAAATACTGTACCTACCAACGTGCCATGTCACTTTACCACACACACGAATACTGAGAAGGCATTTATTTAAAATAATAACTTATTCAGGTTTATGAGAATATAAATTTAGTTATCTATTTGCTGTACAGTTTAGTAGAAGAAAGCATATGTACATTATATAACATATATATCGTGAAATGTTTGTAAAAATTTTAAAGATTAAAAGATGCTAATACGTCCTGCGTACAATTAATAAATATTCCTACTATATGTACTGAGAAAATATAAACAAATAAAATAATTAGTAATTTGAAAATGTAAGATAGATACTCCGATTTTTGAGAAGAAATATTAAAAATACGGATATAACATGCATTTGTATATGCAGAACTAATAGGTGTCAAACACGATGATTTACACCACCTTTGTCGTTCTTCCTCCAATAGGACGATTAAGGAATCCCTTTTTGCTACTATCTCCAACATTTCCGTCAAAATTTCCCCTTCTTTTTTAACATCATCACTGGTCTTC